ATGACCTGAGCCGAAGGCAGTCGCTTAACCAACTGAGCCACCCAGGCGCCCTCCCCTTCCAATTCTTATATATTTTCTCAATCTAGAAGTTTCTAGTTCAAGGAAATAAACATTTTCTTATGCTTACAGAGAGAGTTACTATAGAGGCATTGTCCTCTAGTAGAAATTGCCCCAGGCTTGGGTTCAGGAAAGTAAGGCTCTGGACTAGAGCCTATATATTATTACTTAATTTTTTCATCTTAAAATGAAATGTTTGGACTAAATGATAACTTTTTTTCCAGCTCTCAGATTCTGAGATTCTACTGTTGTGAATTAGAAATTATTTTTTTCTCTTTAATTTCTAAATTCTTTACAATATACTTATTATGTATTTAAACTTACTTTAAAAATCCTAAAGAATATACTCTACAATATATTTTAAAAGTAGAATTATTTTGAAATCTAGGCATGTCGATTGCACATGTATTTCCTTAGTCTGATTTAAAAACAAAACCCCTTTGGGGCACCTGGCTGGCTCCGTCAGTGGAGCATGTGACTCTTAATCTTGGGGTTGTGAGTTCAAGCCCCATGTGGGGTGTAGAGATGACTTAAAAACAAAATCTTTAAAAACAAAACAGAGCCTCTTTAATCATCTATTTTTTTCTTTAGGTTTAATCCTCTTCCTTTTTTTTTTTTTTTTAAAGATTTTATTTATTTATTTGTCAGAGAGAGAGAGAGAGCACAAGCAGGGGGAGCGTCAGGCAGAGGGAGAAGCAGGCTTCCCGCCAAGCAAGGACCCCAATGGGGGGACTCAGTCCCAGGACCCTGAGATCATGACCTGAGCCAAAGGCAGATGGTTAACCGACTCAGGCCCCCAGGCATCCCTCCTTTTTCTTTTTTTTAAAAAAATCCTTTTTCGGGGCGCCTGGGTGGCTCAGTCGGTTAAGCATCTGCCTTCAGCTCAGGTAATGATCCTGGAGTCCCAGGATCCGGCCCTGCTCGGGCTCCCTGCTCAGCAGAGAGTCTGCTTCTCCCTCCCTCCCTCTGCCCCTCACCCCACTCTAGTCTGCTTTTCTCTCTGCTCCTTACCCCGCTTGTGCTCTCTCTCAAATAAGTAAGTAAAATCTTTTAAAAAAATCCTTTTTCTAATTATAATGAAAAACAAAGATTATTTAAAAACTGGGAAATAGTATGTCTCAGTGAAGCAGAAAATAAACTGTCTATAATCACCAAGAGACTAAAGTCATTTAATATTTTGGTGTATTTGTTTTAAATTTTTCTTTCTAGGAATTTTTTTTAAAGATTGATTGATTGATTGATTGATTGATTTTAGAGAGCAAGCGAGAGTGAGCCAGGGTGGGAGGGGGGGGGGAGGAGCAGAGGGAGAGGGATAAGCAGACTCTTTGGTGAGCACAGGGCTCAATCCCACAACCCCGAGATCACCACCTGAGCTGAAATCAAGAGTTGGTCACTTAACTGACTGAGCCACCAGGAGCCCCCGTTTAGTTTAAAATAGCAATATATGTTACAGGGACTTTAGAAAACATGGAAATATAGAAAATGAAATACTACCCATAAGCTTATTGCCTGTGATTAACCACGATTAATATTTTGGTGGATTAACTTTTTAAATTTTTCTCTACATATATGTAAATATTTTTATTAAAAAATCGAGACCATACTTATTTTGTATTCTGTATTTTTCATTTAATATATTGGGAACATATGCCAGTATCATTATGAGTTCTTAAGGTATGAAATATAAGGCTCTATTAGATTGCAAAGAACAGAATCACTCAGGGGACCTTAAGCAGTGGAAGTTTATTATAAGAATGCATGGACACTAAGGAAGACAGGAAGCTTTGCCATTGTACAACCAGGCTTCAAGGAGCCTGGGATGATACTGTTTTTGGATATAGTGCAGTCTGGTTATGAAGTTATTCTGTTGTTTTTCTCAACTGCTTGTGTCCTTTGCTCCCTGATCTAGTGGTCTGTCACGGTGACTTACGTACTTCCAGTTCCAGCTTTTTCTGTTGCAGTGTGAACTGGCTGACTGCTTTTCCCCTCTGTCTCATAGTGTCTGCTTACTATTGGTTTCAGCTTATTCTTTACTTCTACTTATTCATGGCTTTACTGTATCTTGGCTTTAGTTTAAGTTTCGTGTTATCAACTATTGTCTCCTATTTAGATACCTCAAGAAAGAGGATCAGATTGAGTTAGTTAATGTTGTAAGTTGGGTGGGGTTGTTGGGCCTTGCCATCCCATATGCTGCTAGCCAGCCCAGGGATTAGCTATTCTTAGATAAGAAGCCCATTTGTAGTCTAACTCACCAGAGTATAGGGGAGCTCCTAGTCAGGCATCCAGTAACAGGCTACTCTCTAATATACTTGGTTTTGAGTTGTACAGTGTCTTTTCAAATTGATGTATTATAATTAATATAATTGTAGGACATTTCTGTAACTGAGAAGAAAAATAAACACAAAGCAGAACAAGTTGAAGGAAATTCTTGCAGTTCTGTATTTAAAAGGTAAAATTCATCATGAGAGCAAAACATAATTCCACTCAAAATAACAATGCATTAGTGAATTATAAAAGGCATTAATAGGAGGAGATACGTGGAACGTGGAAGAATTAAAAATGAAGTAAAAAGGACTGGCGATTGTATGGGCTTGAATTGTAGAAAAGGTTGAAATACATTAGAAAAACTATTGATTAGTGAAACCAAACTCCCTGTTTATTTATGATAAATTACCTAATTAATAACAAATAATAGACTCATATAGAGGATTATGATGATGGTATTGTGTATTATAAAATGCTTTTAAAATATTTATTTAGCAACTACTGTACATCTGAAAATTAGATCTTAAGAAATAGCAAATAAAATGTGTAATACTCCCTTACCAAAATAACACTGTAGAAGACTTGATTATTCATTAACATATCTGTGCCAACTGTAACTGTTTTCTTCTGTGGCAGTATCGTAGCCAATGAGGTTTATCCGAGGCGCGATTATTGCTAGTTGATCCATTTCTAGAAGTAGAATTGACCCAGTAGTACCTGGGTCAAAAGGTATGAATATTTTTTTGACTCTTATATATTATCAAATTGTACTTTGAAAGTTTCTGTTAATTTGTAAGTTCTTTTTCTTTACAGTTGAGATCACAGTGTATGTGCAGTTTTTTCTTTTTTACTTAATAGTATAACATGTATTTCCTGTGTTACTGGTTTGCAAACTTCATTTTTTTAAAGTTTTATTTATTTATTTATTTATTTGAGAGAGAGATTATTTTCTTGGCTAGATTCCTGACAGAAAAATTACTATAACAAAGGTCTAAATATTTGTAATGCCAAATTGATTTCTGGAATGGTTGTAATAATTAAAAGTTCCACTGACAGTGCGTGATATTTTCCATTGTAAGACCTCTTGCCAAATTTTTTTTTTTTTAAGATTTTATTTATTTATTTGACAGAAAGAGACACAGCGAGAGAGGGAACACAAGCGGGGGAGTGGGAGAGGGAGAAACAGGGTTCCCGCAGAGCAGGGAGCCCGATGTGGGGCTCCATCCCAGGACCCTGGGATCATGACCTGAGCCGAAGGCAGATGCTTAACGACTGAGCCACCCAGGTGCCCCTCTTGCCAAATATTTTTTAGTTTTATTTATAGATTAATCTTTGTAGATAACTGAATTAAGATTCCACCCACCTTGAATCATATCTTTTGAAATTATTAAATGCTACTTGCAGCTTTTTGGATTAATACAATGTTAGATTATTAGGTCTGAAGGGAATTCAGCTTCCTACCCTTTGCTCTTCTTTCAGGCATATCAAATTGTCATTTTATACGATAAAATTTGGCTTTTTTGGTCCTGTCCAGGGCTAATTGTACTTTGATTTAGAATAAAGGAAGTTATTTTTTGCCGTATTTAAAAACTTTAAACTTGTAGAGCATAATAGAAAAAACTAAGTAATTTATAATGTCAAATTAAGGTGAAACATGTATCTCATTTTCATTGCTAACAGACCCCACTTCCTGCCAAACTTAAAAAACAAAACAAAACACTCCCCAAAACTGGAACTAAGGTAGTATCAAAACTAAGTAACCTATGTCACATCAAAACATTTAAGATGATATTTTGCAGTTACATTAACAAATATGAAGTGTGTCTTTTCTTACACATTTAATAAAATAAGATGATCTTAAAACTTTATCTGTATTTCTTTGGTTGGCCTAAAATTAAACAAACAAAAGCTCTCTCAATAAAATAAATCTTTAAAAAAAAGAAGTTTGCAAAATAATAACATAGGAGATACATATACTATACAAAAAGTCTGGCAGAAATCAAAGACATTGCACAGGAGTTACTTGCTGTATCCTGTGCCAAATAAAACATTTCCCCACTCTAATACTCAAGCTCTTTGCTGGGAGAAAGCCTGCTCTAAGAAGGACGACTTGCTGAAAAGAGTTGTTTTCAACTACTCTGTTGAGTGGTCTCATCAGTAAAGAAATGTAGATTAAAGTCTGGATTGTAGTAGTTTGAATAATGAATGAAAGGTGAGATAAAGATAGTTAATGTGAGGACTCTTTCAGAATACTGGATGAAAAAGGAAAAGAGGTGGATGCTGTCATACATTAAGGGATAAGAAAATAGAGGTTCAGATTCTCAGACTGGGTAGACTTACGCAAGTTTGTAGGCTATGTGTAAGGAGCCAAAAGAGAGGGAGCAATACAGTGGATTGCAGAGGAGACTGGAGGAGATACAACCAGGAGCAAATGGTTAGCTTTTGGGAAGCTTGCCTCCATTGAGAAAGATGGTAAATACACTGAAGACCTAGGTAAATCTAATTGGGATGAAGACAAGGTCTAAACTGTCTTTAGAGAGTAGGAAGGTGTAGAGAAAAGAGTTATAATAGCAGGCTCCAGACTGCTGCCCTTAGAAATACTTGTTTGCAGTGTTGGCTCTTGGCTGGTGTCTGGGCACTTAGACTTTAGGAGGGTCCCCAGTATTCCCAAAATTGATAGGAAGGGTTCACTGAGCCTAAACTGTTTTGAACAAACAATGTGGTTTATACCAAACACCTGCTTTCCTTCTGGGAATCTGGAATTTTGGTATACTAAGTAGAGGGTGTATGTTTACCAGTTCCTGATAAAAGCCTTGGGCACTGAGTGTCTAATGAGCATTCCCGGTAGACAGTATTGTATACATGTTGTCAAAACTAGTTGCTGCAGGCATTAAGCACATCCTTGTGTCTTCACTGAGAAGAAACTCTTAAAAGTTTGCTCTTGGTTTCCTCTGGAATTTTCCCTATGTGCCTTTTCCTTTTGCTGATTTTGCTTTGTGTCCTTTTGCTGTGGGTACAACTATATACTGAGTCATGTGAGTCCTCCTAGTGAATCATCAAACCTGAGGGTAGTTTTGTGGACCTCTAGCACAGAGGGAGTGACCTGGAAGGCTGAAAATGATGGTTGAGATTTGGAACAGTGTGATAGAAACAGAAATCATGGGCATCAGAGGAAGAGAGAACAATGGTGTGAAAATTTGCAATGAAGAGTTAGTGGAGTGTAGACATATTTTCTGTTTTGGAAATTAATTATTCAGCAAGTATTTATTGAGTATTTATTTATCAGGCATTGGGCCAGACGTTTGGGGTATAAAGATAATTAAGATACCATACCTTCCCATAAACAACTCATTATTTATCAGAGTAGGGAGTTAGGCTTGTAAACATATTATAATAAGTATGATAAGGACTGCACAAGAGAGAATGTAGTCAGGTATTACGCGAACATGGAAGATGGAGTCTGGAAAGTGGACTTCAGGGAATGAGCTATAATTGAGAATTTCTAGGAAAGAGTGTCATTCTAAGAATTTTGGTTACACTGAAGAAGAAAAAAAAAATTTTTTTTAAAGGGAAGATATAAGGAGGTATCCAGGTAGTAGATCAACAGATTAGGGGTACCAAAGTTAAATATTAAAAGGAATTTGGAAGGGAAGTGATCTATTAGGAAATGGAAATTCTTTTTTTTTTTTTTTTTAAGATTTTATTTATTTGAGAGAGCATGAGTGGGGAGGGGCAGAAGGGAGGGAAAAAGAATCAAGTAGACTCCACACTAAGTGTGGAGCCTGACGCGTGGCTTGATCCTAGGAACATGAGATCATGACCTGAGCGGAAATCAAGAGTTGGACGCTTAACTGGCTTGAGCCACCCAGGCACCCCGGGAAAGGGAGATTCTGAATTAGATAAAGATGAGTGCAGGGTAACAGATTGGAGTGGCTTACACTTTGAGTTATAGCTATAGAATTGTAGGAATTGAGGTGACAGTGAAATGGAAGAAGGTGGGAGAGGTGTAAAAGAAGCCTGTTTGAAGATTCCATTTAGATTTAGGTGTAAATTTGCTGTTTCTCTACAAAGCTTTACTAGGTATATTACATGAACTTTCAAAACTACCTCAAATTACATAAAAGCAAAATTGGCCTTGTACATGCTTTCTTTTTAAATTTTTAAAACGATACAAGTCTTCTATTGTAGGATCTTGTTATCATGAAGTATTACGTAGAAGATGTTCAGTGGTTGTGATTTGAATGAATTCTCTTTTCTTCAAGTACTGGTAGACTTGAAAACTTGTAATAGGTAAGAGTAAAATAGGTTAAGTTTAATGTATTTTGTCATATTTGTCATTCTTGGAAAAAAGTTTCAATCTTTTATCATTTCTGAAGCCATGAGTGTTTTAACCATAATTGAGGAAAGGGTCTGTTAGGTAATAGGCATAGATGTAGATATAGCACACGTCTACATGTCTCCATTTTCTTTTATACCATCTAATGGATTGACAGTAGGTTTTGAATGGTAAGTGAGATAACTGTTGGTAGCACTTTGTCAGTGCTTACTTTCTTCTTTTCTTCTTCTTTCCTTCTCCTACTTCTCCCTCCCCACTTTTCCTTACATTTTTCCTTCTTCTGCTTTTATTGCTTGTATGTACCCTGGAGACCTGTTAAAATTAACAGCCATTGCTCATCTCCACCAGTAACATTCAAAGCTAGAAAAAAAAAAAACTATTAAAATAATATGCTGGGCACCTGGGTGGCTCAGTTGGTTAAGCGACTGCCTTCAGCTCAGGTCATGATCTACGGTCCTGGGATCGAGTCCTGCATCGGGCTCCCTGCTCTGCGGGGAGCCTGCTTCTCCCTCTCCCACTCCCCCTGCTTGTGTTCCCTCTCTCGCTGTGTCTCTCTCTGTCAAATAAATAAATAAAATCTTAAAAAAAAAAATATGCTTTGAGTTAGTTTTTAAGGTATAGGCGGTAGCTCAAATATTTTTAAATGAATCATTTTTTTGTTTATGTAGTGCTGGTTAGTTCACTTTCAGTCTCTTATTATTTTTTTATTTTTTATTTATGTTTAAAAAATTTTTAAAGATTTTATTTGAGAGAGAGAGCACGAGCAGTGGGGGGAGGGGTAGAGGGAGAGGGAGAAGCAGACTCCCTGATGGGCAGGGAACCCGATGTGGGGCTCCATCCTGGGACCCTGGGATCATGACCTGAGCTGAAGGCAGACGCTTAACTGAGCCACCCAGGTGCCCTGTTGTTGAGAGATTTTAAAAGAGAAAGCAGAGTACAGTTGGGGTTCACTCCTATGGGCCGGGGAGACTTCAAGGACTTTAAGCACAGCATTATCTTGACACTTGTTCCAGGTATTCTTGTTCAGTGGGTGGGAAATGTGAGCAAGGAAATGGAAAAATCATTAGCACCAAGTTAATGGCTGGTAGAAAAGCTAAGCACTCTCGTATAGTGATAATCTTGTCACTGGGTAATCTTTCTTGGGACATTTTTTGGGGGGTGAGATGAAGGAAGAGGAAGGTTTACGATCTGTTCCTAAGATACAACTTAACAAAAAAGTATGACTGAAGAGGAACTGAGTGAATGTACTTGGAACTATAAATTCTTACTCTGAAGAATAACTAGCCTGACTTAAAAGGAGCCCTGACCTGCAGGAACAACAGGGCAATTAATTAGCTGGTTGTGCTCCCTGGATAAAGAATTGCATGGCCAATAAGGAAATATTCAGGCTCTAGAAAGAAAGGAAATTAGGGTTTAAGCTCATCCTGGACTGCTCCCTCCAACTTAGCATATTACATGGCAGCAAACTATAGGTATTCAATAAAATAATTTAATCTGTGTTAAATGTCTTAATGGCTGGGATGAAAGGGGAAGACTTTTCTATTTAGGAGACTTGGAGGGGGGCTCCTGGGTGGGTTAGTTAAGTATCGGACTCTTCTTTTTGGCTCAGGTCATGATTTCAGGGTCGTGAGATGGAGCCCCAGGTTGGACTTCGCGCTCGCTGGGCATGGACCCTGCTTAAGATTCTTTCCCTCTGCCCTTCCCCCGCTTTGCGTGCCTGTGCTCTCTTTCTCTCTAAAAAAAACAAAAACAAAAAACAAAGGAGATTGGAGGTATCTGGTTGTTGCTTTTCTAAAAAATTTCAGACAGTTGGAAGGAGATGGTTAATTGCAATAATAAACATGGTTGAGGTGCGCCTGGGTGGCTCAGTTGGTTAAATGTCTGCCTTCGGCTTAGGTCATGATCCCAGGGTCCTGGGATTGAGTCCCACATCGGGCTCCCTGCTCAGCAGGGAGCCTGCTTCTCCCTCACCCTCTGCCCTTCCCCCTTCCCCCCCCTCATGCTCGCGGTCTCTCTCTCTCAAATAAATAAATAAATTCTTTAAAAAAATAAACATGGTTGAAATGGAGATGATTCATAGAGAAAACCTTCAGACCAATGGAGATAATACTTGAGGAGATGGAAATTTATAATTTATACTCAATAAACATTTGTTGATTGTCCTCTTCCCTAAGGGAAATGGATGAAAAGGAGATACATTATCTAGAGACCTCACTGAGAGCTATCACCTAGCATTTCACATCTTTTCCTCATTTTAGGAGTTTTGAGGTTGGAAGTGAGTTATCTCTTGGGGCAAGTAGAACCATATTGCAGTGAGGCGTACAGACAGAAAATGAATTTAATTGAGTCTGTCAGTCTTAGGATGGCATTAATGCCAGAATTATGTAGAAAAATAACAGTTGCAGGTACATGTTTAGTATGAAAAGAATTTTGGCTTGGACTTAGGTAGTTGCATTGTGATCTTTTCCGTAAGTAGTATCCATTATTTATAAAGACAGATTAATGTCATTCAGTGCTATAAAATAATGTATAAAATTACTTAAGATGGTGATAAAATGGTCTCCAATGCCACCATCCACATGTAGGGAAGTCTAGATAGTGATGTAGACCACAACCTAGCCACCGAAGTGTTTTGTTTGCCTTGCACAGTATTTTAAAGATGGGAAAGTTTACATAGAAATCTGGTTCCCAACTCCTCTTAGAGAAAGAAAATCATACAATCACTCAGACGTGGGCCTGCATTCTAATATGATAGTAATCAGCTGAATCTGACCCATGACGCCCGTCCCCCCGCCCCATTCTGTATACCCTCCACTTGGCCAGTCTCCACCATTCCTTACTGCTTTCACACAGCCCATGTTAATTCGATTTCCCTGTTTAGCTGTACTGATGGTTGAGTTAAAAACCCCTGACCTGGCCAGCTGTTTGAGGCAGAGTATCTCAGAAGATCCCTCTTACTAGTGCAGACTACCTAAGTGCAGTACAGTGTATTTATAAGGGTTGTTAAGACAGTGAATCTTAAGGGTTCTCATCATAGAAAAAAAATTTGTTAACTATGTGAGGAGATGGATGTTAACCAAACTTATCATGGTAATCATTTCACAATATAGACATGTATCAAATCATTACGTTGTATACCTTAAACTAATACAGTGTTATATGTCAAGTATATTTCAATAAAACTGAAAACAATTTTGGCTTCAGGATCCAACAAAAGTCCTATTTAAATATCTCAGTTTTTATTTCTAGGTGCAATCTGCCATTACCAATGTGTTCATGAGTATTTTATTCTTTCCTAATAACTTACACAAAGAAATAGTCAAGTGCCCAATCAATCCTTATGATTTTTGCAGACATTTAAAAGCTTAAAGGTACTAAAATGTACTACCTCAGTTCCATTTCTTTCCCCAAAGAATAGCAAGTGTTGTATTACTTGTAAGTTTAAGTAGGCAGGCAGCTATCACATTGTTCTAGGTGTTTTTTTTTAGCATTTTCTGGCTGTAACAACAGTGTGGATATGCTGGCCTCAGAAAATGCTAACTGATCAACTTGCATTCTTAGACATGCTACTGCTTTTTTGAGTGTTAACACGTGCTTTTGACCTAAAGAATAATCCATAGCAGAGATCGTAGCTTTCTAGTACTTAGTTGGAAGAATCTCAGTAATTTTTACAAATTAGATAATTGTGTTGTTTTCTATTACATTAATATTTTGCTTACAAACAGAGCCCCAAAGAAGTCATTTCTTTTCTGTATTCTCAGCCTCTTATACAAAAGTTTTGATTCAGCTGCTAAGATTGCTTGTTACATTTCATAAATTGCTGATTACAGTGTGTCTCAAACTTCCATTGTTACTTTGTATATCAAGTTGCGCATCTATTTACTTGACCTTTGATTAAGTTAAATGGCTTTTTCTCAACAATGACATGTAATAACATATTTTTCTCCTTTTTTTAAAAATAGATTTGGACTGAGCAACAAATTTGAATCAGAATTCCCTTCTTCATTAACTGGAAAAGTGAGTGTCTATCATTTACTTAGGTACTATTTTTTCCTAACAAATTATAGAAATAATTATGCAAATGAGACATGTTTATTGACATTAATATTACGGTATTGTTATTTCTTAAAATTTTTCTTTAGGTAGCTCCTGAAGAATTTAAAGCCAGCATCAACAGAGTTAACAGTTGTCTTAAGAAGAACCTTCCTGTTAATGTACGTTGGCTACTTTGTGGCTGCCTTTGTTGCTGCTGCACATTAGGTTGCAGTATGTGGCCAGTTATTTGCCTCAGTAAAAGAGTAAGTGGAATTAATATATTTTAATTTAAATTTAGAAGTAGGCAAGCAAGTCTTGCATTTATTTAGTTTTTATTTTTTGTATTGAATGAGTCACAGCATGCCGAATACTATAAAAAATGATCTGGTCCAGTAGAGGAGTGATTAAGTAAAATTATGGTATGTCCACATGCTATTATATTAAATTTAATTATAAATTTCATTCATAATTTTCATGATCTAAGATATTACCCAAGAGTAGAATAGAATACAGCATTCTCTCTGTATGTACATTTATGGTGGTATAGCATAGTGATTGAGAATGCTGGGTTCAGGTCTACCACTTATCTCTGTGGCTCTAGGCAGGTTTCCTAACCTCTGTCATCTCTAGTTGGCTTATCTGTAAAATGGCACTATTCACCTACCTGCTTGAGTAGGATTGTTTTAAGTATAAAGTGAAATAGTGTATATAAAGCTATTAGCTAAATAGCTCAAATAACTAATAGACATTGACTAATAGCATTAGTACTAATACATAAGGTCGTACCCATAGAAGAAGTAACATGGTTACAATGTTTATTTCTAGTTGATAAGATTATGGGGAATTCTGGTTTCTTTTTAAGAAATTTTTTCTTTTGTATTTTACAAGTTTTCTGAGATGAGTACATAGTGATTCTGTATGGCAAATTGTTATAGATGGAACACATTACATTTTTGTTTAAGTTTTAAAAAATTATGGTAGCTATAGGTATAAAAATGAAATACTTTTGAAATTGAATGGTTTATGTGGCTACATTTCATTTTGTCATCAAATAATGATAGGAAATATGGAAAAGCAAATGCTGTTTGTCCCTTGATTTCTGTTGTAAAATAAGCAATGTATTACTACTGAAAAAAATTTTTAACTGATACATTTTATTGATAAGAAGATAATGCCTTTGTAATAGAATTGATTTTGTAATATTTACTGTAATATTTGTAATATTTGTAATATTTTTCTCCAAGAATATTTCTTCTTCTTTTTTTCCCCTGTATTTCTGACCAGATCATCTTCAGACCACATATTTTTTTTTAATTTTCATTTGCCACTTGATCCACAATTGAATTTGCAGCTCTTGGAGTTTAGATTCTCTCACTACCTCCTACTCTTCGGGCTTTTTCATTGTTTAAATGACTGCTATCTCAGGGCGCCTGGGTGGCTCAGTTGGTTAAGCATCTGCCTTCGGCTCAGGTCATGATCTTGGGGTCTGGGATCGAACCCCGAGTTGGGCTCCCTGCTCAGCGGGGAGCCTGCTTCTCCCTCTGCCTGTCCCCTCTACTTGTGCTCTCTCTCTCTCAAGAAAATAAAATCTTTTGAAAAAATAAATAACTGCTGTATCCCACTTGGTTGGCAATTTGCTGTTACTTAACCCAAGGAATCATAAGAATTTTATTTTAGAAATCTGTGTGATCTAGTTTTTTTGAGGTTTTGAGATCTTTTTTTTTTTAAAGATTTTATTTATTTATTTTGACAGAGAGAGAGAGACAGCGAGAGAGGGAACACAAGCAGGGGGGAATGGAAGAGGCAGAAGCAGGCTTCCCGCCAAGCAGAGAGCCCGATGCGGGGCTCGATCCCAGGACCCTGGGATCATGACCTGAGCCGAAGGCAGATGCTCAACGACTGAGCCACCCAGGCGCCCCGAGATCTTTTGTTTTTTACTTTTTTTTTTTTTTGAAGATTTATGTATTTATTTGTTTATTTAGAGAGCGAGCAGGGGGAGCGGCAGAGGGAGAGGGAAAGCGAGAATCTCAAGCAAACTCCCCACTAAGCACAGAGCCCAATGTGGGACTTGATCCCACGACCCTGAGATCATGACCTGAGCTAAAATCAAGAGTCTGATGCTTAACCAACTGGGCCACCCAGGCGCCCCTGTTTTTTACTTTTTAAATGAGAAAATAAGATATTGCAATGTGTGCACAGCGTAGGATTTAGAAAATAAAACTCAACTTCTTACTCTTCTCCATGCATTTTTAGCAACATATGATCATTTTTCAGATGATTTCATTAAATTCCTTTTTATTTGAGTCATAGGATAGATCTCTTAGGCTTTTCTCATCTATAGTTTTGGAAAGTACATTTTATATAACAATGTAGTATTCAGTCTAAGGTCTCTCTTTGTATGTATATGATTTAATTTTATATGGACTTTACTATCTAGTGAGTGCAAACAAGTATGATTACAGTTTAAATAAAATGCTGTGCATTTCCGTGTCTTGGGTGTAAACTATTATATACCCATGGAGAGAGTGACACTTCATGCATGTATGAGGGTGTTAGAGACCCTCAAAAAAGTGGTGCTGTGTACGATGGGAGCAGGATCATTTAGAGCAGGGATTTTTAACTTTTTATTTGTCATGGATCCTTTTGGTGTTTCAGGGAAGTCTATGAACCCTCTCTTGGAATAATGTTTTATTTGTATTTTAAAAGGTATAATGTATTTTAAACGTATGAAATGAAGAACACGAGATTATAAAGGAAACCAATTATATGAAATAAACTTATCAAAGACTAAAGCTCCTCAATTAGGAGTGCCTTGGGTGGCTCAGTAGGTTGAGCATCTGCCTTCAGCTCAGGTCATGATCTTAGGGTCCTGGGACTCCCTGCTCATCGGGGAGTCTACTTCTCCCTCTCCTCCCTGTCCCTCTGCTCTCTCTCCATCTCTCGCTCTTTCTCAAATAAATAAAAAAAATCTTAAAAAGACGCCTCAAATACATTATTTATAAATGTTTATTAATGCACACAAAATAAGATAGCAAAGAATCAATGGTAATATGATGTGACAGGAAAAATCTGATTTCTATGAGTGATAGAGATACAGTCCTATTTAGTCTACCACAGTTAGTTGTATACATTCATAATCTAAGGGAACTATACCACATTTCAATTAGAGGTTAGTGAAAATAAAGATGTTTCATCCACTTTCATGGATTCCTAGAATTTTGTCTAGGTATTCCATGTTAAGAATAAGAACCCTTGATTGAGAGGTACTGGTATAAATAAAGGCTAAAACCCTGCCTGATTGTTAGCCTCTGAACCTTTCCTTTGCCCTCATTTGTGATGTGGAATATGGTTAGAATTGTCTCAGATATTTAAGACAAATCAGGACCAAAGGCATACCAAAGTATCAGCTCAGCATTTTCACCTTCAGGACATTATTCAATAATTTGGGTAACTAGATTTCTTCCTTAATTTTGAAATCCATCTCCAGCTGAGTGTCCCTTTTTATGAACTGACCTTGTTCTGGAGACATTGTTTTTAAATCAGTATTATTATTGTTGTTCCTTATAAATTGCCTTTCCTTTTTTAAAAAAATTGTTATGAGCTATTTTTGAAAATTATTTACTATACAGCAAAATTCACTATTTTTGGTGTATAGTTTTATGATTTTTGACAAATGCATACAGTTGTGTAACTATCACCACAACCAAAATATATTACTGTTCTCTCCAAAAACACATTTACTTGTGCTGCCTCTTTGTAGTTATATTCTTTTCAGCTCTTAAACCCTGACAACCACTGATCTGTTGCTCTCCTTACAGTTTTGCCTTTTCTAGCTTGTTATATAAATGGAATTATACAGTATATGTAGCCTTTTGAATCTAGCTTTTTTCATTTAGTTAATGCAGTCGAGATTCATCTATTTTGTTGCATGTGTCAGTAGTTTATTCCTTTTTTTTTTTTTGCTGAGTAGTATTCCATTGTATGGATGTATCATAATTTGTTTATCCACTTTCCAACTGAAGGACATTGTGTGGTTTCCAGTTTTGGTGATTTTGAATAAAGATGCTATATATGGGGGTGCCTGGATGGCTCAGTCATTAAGCGTCTGCCTTTGGCTCGGGTCGTGGTCCCAGAGTCCTGGGATCGAGCCCCACGTCGGGATACGTGCTCAGTGGGGAGTCTGCTTCTCCCTGTCCTTCTGCTGCTACTCCCCCTGCTTGTGCTCTCTCTCTCTCTGTCAAATAAATAAAATCTTTATTAAAAAAAAGATGCAATAAATATTCACATGTATGTTTTTCTGTGAACATAAGTTTTTACTTTTAGGAGTCGGGTTGCTGGATCCTATAGTAACTGTACGGTTAATTTTATAGGAAACTTCCGGATTGTTTTCCCAAGTGGCTCTACCATTTTACATTCCAGCCAACAACATATGAGAGTGCCAGTTGTTCAGCATCTTTGCCAGGACTTGGTATTGTTAGTTTAAGAAATTTTAGTCATTCTGATAGATGTGGTGGTATCTCATTCTGGTTTTAATTCACATTATCCTCATGACTAATGGTATTGAGCACCTTGCCATTTGTAAAACCTCTTTGTTAGAGTTTATTCAAATATTTTGCCCATTTTTAAATAGTAATTTCTTATTGTTGAGTTTTGAGAGTTCTTTATATGTTCTGAATATAAGTCCCTTGTCAGGTTTATAACCAAATATATTTTTCCGGTCTGTAGCTTGTCTTTTTATTCTCTTAATGTCTTTGGCAGAGCAAAATTTGATTTTGATGAAGTCTGATGTATCAATTTTTAAGAAATGGATTGTGTGTTTGGTGTTATATCTAAGGATTCTTTGCCTGAAGCAAGGTCACAGACTTTTTCTCCTATCTCTTCTGCATTTTACTTTCAGATCTATGACCCATTTTGAGTCAGTTTTTGTATAGGTGTGAGGCACAGGTCAGAGTTCATTTTTTTGCATAGGACAATGGGTTTTCTAGCACCATGTGTTGAAAAGACTGTTTTTTCCTCATTAAATTGCCATTGTACATTGACAAAAATCAGTCGACCATATTTATGTGGATCTGTTTCTAAACTCTGTTCTATTGATTTCCATGTGTCTATCTTACATTTTAATACCATATAGTCTTCTTTATTAAAGCTTTATAGTAAGTCTTTTTTTTTTTTTAAGATTTTATTTATTTATTTGACAGAGAGAGAGAGACAGCTAGAGAGGGAACACAAGCAGGGGAGTGGGAGAGGGAGAAGCAGGCTTCCT